ATAGAGAGAGGAGAGAAAGGATGGAAATATGGGGACTGAGGAAATAACTGATGCTTGCCTGAGGCTGGTGGTGAAGCAGAGCAGTAGGTCTTATTTCCTAAATCAGCTTGCAGAGTAGTTCGGTTCTAAGAGCATTAGTCACAAAGTCTGATTCTCTTCCTTCACATCCAGAATCTAGGCCAGGAGCCCTCCTGGAATAAAGAACTCATTTCTAATGTGGTGGGCAGAATTTTAAGATGGCCTCTGATATACAAGCCCTATAAAGCCCCCAGGATTTGTGAATATGATGGGATAGTCACTTCCATGATTAGGGTATATTATATGGACAGCTGATTTAATAGAATTAAACATTCAGTTCATCAGTCACTTGAACCACATTTCAAGCACTCAACAGCCACAAGGAGTTAGTGACTACCATTTTGGACAGTGCAGGTACAGAACATTTCCATTGTTGCAGAAAGTTTTATAAGAGAGCACTGGGTCTCAATCCATGGAACTGTAGGAAACATCTAGGAAGTGGTTCTCAATTCTGGCTATAGATGCTGCCTGAATTCTTTGTTCCTCTTCATAACTAAAACTGTTTATTAACAGTTTTCTATAATCACTGTATCCATTTCTTCATCAACCATTCACTCTTACCCACGTCCATCTGGCCTCCATTACCACCATCCCCACCAAAAGCTAATGGGATGTTTATTGAATGAACTGGATTTTATCATTCAACAGACAATAACTCTTTCTTCCTTCTAGAAACACCTTTTCTCTTTGCTTCAGGGACACTGCACTCTCCTGTCGAAGAACAGGAAAACACTGCACCCTCCTGTTCTTCATTGTACCACCTTAGTTTCTTCTTCCCAGATTTCCTTCGTTACATCTTTCTTTTCTACCAGTCTGTGGTTCTCAACCTTGAACACACATTCGAATCACTGGGGAGCTTTTAAAGTTTCTGAAGACCAGGCTAGATCAATTAAATCAGAAATCTCTTCAAGTAGGACCCAAAGATCAGTAATGTTTAAAGCTCTAAAGGTGATTCTATTGTGCAGCCATGGTAGTGAATTACTGTTCTTAATGTTGGGGGTATTCTAGGGTCTTACCATGATTCTTCTTCCCCAGCTACATTATTTCCCTAGGTCAATGGTTCTCAGTCCTGGCTCCACTTTAGAATCATCCTGGGAGCTTTTAAAAGCCATCATTGTCGGGGAGTTCCCCAGGATGGATCAATTCTAAATTCCTGGGGGTGATTTCTAAGATCTCCTGGGGCTGGAGTAAGGCTTTATTTATTTATTTATTTTATTTCTTTAAAGATTTTATTTATTTATTTGATAGAGAGAGACAAAGCGAGAGAAGGAACACAAGCAGGGGGAGTGGGAGGGGGAGAAGCAGGCTTCCTGCTGAGCAGGGAGCCCGATGTGGGGCTCGTTCCAGGACCCCGGGATCATGACCTGAGCCGAAGGCAGATGCTTAATGACTGAGCCACCCAGGCACCCCTGGAGTAAGACTTTAGAGGCCCTAAACCCTGAAAAGATTTGAGTTTTCCACCCTGCCCATATAAATCAAAATAACAATATTAAATCTTAAAATATATATAGGGGGGATGTACAGCCTTCTAATTTTGCCTAAGGTGTTTACTTCCATATCTTAAAAAATATCATATATAAAAGTTTTCCAAAAAAATTTTGGTACCTCTACTTTGCTGGTGCCTTAAATACATGTTTAGCCTGCCTTAGGAGGTCCAGCCCCAAATCTCATCCAAAGGTCACCTCCTTGGGGAGACGTCTCTTATCTTCCTCCTTTTTTCAATTTTCAAATAAAATTTATTTGACAGAGAGAGAGAGAGAGAGAGAGAGAGAGAGCACAAGCAGGGGGAGTGGCAGAGGGAGAGGGAGAAGCAGGCTCCCTGCTGAGCAGGAAGTCTGATGTAGGGCTGGATCCCAGGACCCTGGGATTATAACCTGAGCTGAAGGCAGCCACTAAACCGACTGGGAGACCCAGGTGCCCCTTATCCATCCTTTCTAAAGTGGGACTGCTAACATCCTGAGATCCCCATCTAGTATATCATCCCATTACAAACATTTCATAAAAAGTGTTGAAATTTGTAATTTTTAGATTTTTCGTTTACTTGTTCATTGTGTGTCTCCTCCATGAAGGTAGGGTCTTGTCTTTTTTGCTTGCTGCTATCTTTTGTGTCCTCATCTAGCACAATGCTTGGTATAAAATAAGTGTTCAAATAAATTTTACAGAATGAATGAATGCACACTGATGTATGGCAAATAGCAGTGAGTAGATGAATCCCAAGGCAGATAGGCCACCTTGGGTTGTTACCGTGTAAAAGACTGTCTTCATGGGGTGGGAAGGGAGAAGTGAGTTCATGAAGGGAGGTCCTTGTTTCCAGCAACCTGGTCAAGGCTTAGAGCAGCAGGTGCATGCCATGATGTTGATGGATGCCAGCGAGTATTTATTTTTAGTGTGTAATTTCTCTGTGTCACCTCCAAATATTCAGTAAAATTTCTTAAACTCAACAGCTATGTGTTTTGTTCTTTGGGGAGTGGAGGAAGGATTGTGTGTTCGTGTTTGGGGTCAAAACAGGCCATAGAGATGCTTAAAAGAGAGCTAAGAGTGCTTGAAGACAAACAGCAACTAGAATGAATTTGTATTATCTGCTAGCATCTCCCTAGAGTTGTCAGCATTATGGTTATTTGGATAGTAGACGAAAGGGTGATTATGGTTATTTGGATAGTAGACCTCAGGTGATTTGAGGTCACTCTGGTTACATAATTAATAAATTATTTGGTAATTCTGTGTTCAGTGTCTGTCCATGAGACTGTAGTCTCCCTTGGGACAGTGATTCTGTCTGACTTGTTTACTCCTGGCCACTGGATGCCTGGCTAGATGGGTGCTCAGTAAATGTTGGTTTTGCAAATGAATGGTTCTGGATATTTTTGTGTTTCTGGGTCAAAAGTCAGAAGGGTCTGCTGACATGTGATGAGGAGGACTGGAAGAAAAGCCCAGGCTCTGAGAATGAGGACCAGGTAAAAGCTGGAGGTGGAGGGGTGTTCTGTACAGACTGGTTTGTTGGGAGGATTCAGATCCAAGCTCAGGCCCCCAGGGTGGCTGGAGGGATAACAGGACACTGTTGATACCTAGTCAGTGGACTTAGAGAAACAAGTATTCTGAGACCCCACTGAGTTGTGGGAAGGGGTTTCTTAATGTCTTAGGGTTGATGCTCATTGACCCAGGGTTGGGATGGGCCTAAAATAACCATCGGGACACATTATCTTAGGCGGCACAAGGACAGGTGGGGACTGACAGGCCTTTGGCTGCACGTGTTCCCTGATTCTCTGAGAGTGACAAAAAACCCTTAGACATGTTGAGGAGCTCTTGTGTCCTAAGACCCTCTCTCCATTTGTGGCCTCCTTTCCCCTGGCTCCACTTGACCCTTCTATCACCTCTGCAGGTTCTAAAAGCTGGGTCTTGTATGCTTTGAGTGCCTAGGTCCATGGCCTGACCACAGAAGTATTTCAGTTCCCCAAACCAAAAATACTGCCATTTTGATTCCTGGCCTTTCTGTCCCCAAAGACCAGCCGTGGTGGATGGAATAGGAAGCTTAACCATGGGAACCTGTTGATCAGTGGATTGAATTTTCATCATGAATTTTCCCAGGTTCCAGTTCTCAGGAGAAAAAATATTGACTTTTCTGGATGATTTTCTCTGCATGTTGTCTTGACAGAGAGTTATGCAGTAGTATTCATGGCATCATATTTTTCAACATTTTTTGTTAGGTTTTCTCTTGCCCCATGGATCCATACTTACAAATCAATATTTGTTTATTGAGCACCTACTATGTGCAGACACTGGGCTATACACTCATCAGGGGATAAAAAGAGTAGCTAAGGGTAGTTCCTGTTCTCCAGGAGTTTACAATCTGGGTTTGGGGACAAATCAGAAAATAACTATAAGTTGAATAACCGTAAATATGTAAATTTGACATAGAAGGGATTTATAAACAGAACAGAACTTGAATTGTATAAGGTCTGCTGCTGGAATTTGGGAAGAATTTATAGAGAACAGCAGAGAAGTCATCACTGATCCAGGAACCTGATCTGAGTCTTGGATTTAGAACTTACCCAAGTACACAAGAGATGGAGGCATCAGTGTAGACGGACAGAGCTGGATGAATTGAGCCTAAGTGTGGTCAAGGGAATGGAATGGCTGGATCAGAGCACTGTGTGAAGGGGGGCTGTGTGTGATAAGGTCAAATGTGCAGCTTTTTAAGCAGGACCCTGAGAGCCTAGCCTGGCCATGGACTTGGGATTTTAATCTGGGGATGATGGAAAGTGTACAGGTCAGAGTGCATGCCAAATCCAACTCAGCAAATGAAGCACTAGGCCAATGCTAACAGGATGAAATGTACCTTGGAAGAAGTGCAAAGACATGCATGTGCATCTCTGTGTGTGTATTTGTGTGTATGTGTATGCACCTCTTAAGAAGAGCACAAATTCGGGCGCCTGGGTGGCTCAGTTGGTTAAGCGACTGCCTTCGGCTCAGGTCATGATCCTGGAGTCCCAGGATCGAGTCCCACATCGGGCTCCCTGCTCGGCGGGGAGTCTGCTTCTCCCTCTGACCCTCCCCCCTCTCGTGCTCTCTTGTCTCTCATCCTCTCTCTCTCAAATAAATAAATAAAATCTTTAAAAAAAAAGCACAAATTCGAGATGGAGGACAGCCCATTTTAACAGTATTTGACTTGAAACAGATAGAGGTGTTAAATGTATCTATAAGCTTAATATGGGTCCTTGGTTTGACCTGGCTGGGAAAAGCCTCCTGTCCTTCAGGCTTCAGCAGCAGGAGTAGAGTCTCCAGAACCAAAGATGTCCTGGCATGCTATTTTCTTTCCCCAAGTCCTTGAAGAGGACTACTTTGTTAAGATGGCCAATATTCATAGAGGAGCTTCCTGAGTTCTCTCCTGTGGGAGAGTCTTATTCTCATGGGCTATTTCCCTTCAGGTTTCTCTAGGACTCAGAGCCAACTTGACTCTCTCAGATCCTGCACATCTTCATGCAGCTACTGAGCTGCCTGAGGTGACACATTCAGACCTTGTCTGGGAGAAAAAGTATCGATGTACAACCAGCTGAGCAAGCATTTGTCTGGGATGAAACGATGTTCTGAGACATGGAACTTCTAGAGCTAAAACAAGGAGAATCCTGAAAAACTACAATGGTTGGTCACCCTACAACATACCAGAACCTTCTTGAAGATTCACCCCCACACCCGGTGGTTTTTCTCTTAGAAACTGGAGGAACACGCCTGTCTCATAGATATTTATCCTCTAGGTACAACTTGAAGAGATCTCATGGTCTATGTTTCTAAGATCTTCCAAGGGGGCAAGCTTGTGATGCTTTAGGTTTTGCAAATCTAAAACATTCACCAAGACCATTTTTCCTATCCATTTCCTTGAGGTGTCCTAGTCTACAAAATGTCCCATGTGATTTTTCCTTTTTGTGAAGAGCAGATTCCCTTAATCTTGGGAGGACCAGATATTGTAATGGAAAGAGTATGGATTTTTGAAAGCTTACAGATCTTCTGGTGGATTCTGGTTCTACTATATACTCATTGTGGTGGACAGTGCTATGTGTTCACCATGTTCTACTGTGTTTTCCTCTTCTGGGCACGTAGGAAGATCACTTAGGTGCTCTCTGAACAGTTCTGGCCAATAGGTTGTAAGCTGAATGACTGTGTCACTTTATAGCTGAAGCATGGAATATGAGAGAGCTTCTCCATGCTCCTCTATCCTTGCTGTCATGACCACGAGGGCCATGTGTCCTTTGTTGGTGTGGCTACAAGATGGCAGAAATCACTGAGTGACTGTATAACAGAGGATTTCTCCCCTTACCATTGTCTCCCTTCTTACTTTGTGCGAGCAACAAATGAATGTTTGTTGTGTTAAAGCTGCTGAGATTTTGTGGTTGGTTTATTACCACAGCATAACCTGACTAAAACACTGGTTCTGTGTCTTCCTCCCCTTAGGTTACCCCAATAAAAAATACCATGGATTGGGTGGCTTAGGCAACAGACATTTATTTCTCATGGTTCTGGGGGGCTAGAAGGCCAAGATCAATGTGCTGGTGAGAGCTGGCTTCCTGGCTTCAGACAGGTGGCTCCTTGTTCTCTCTGAAGGCAGAGCCCTGGTGTCTTCCTCTTCTTATAAGGGCACTAATCCCATTATGAGGATTTCACCTGCATGACCTCATCTAAACCTAATTACCTTCCCCTTCTTAAGAAATATTGGTATCCCCCAATACCATCACATTGGGGTTAGGGTTTCAACATATGAATCTGGGGAGGATATATTCAGTCCCTAACACGTTATAAGCTTGTCAAGCTTCCTAATAATGCTGAGGCTATAAAAAAGGGAAATAATATCTCCTTCAAAGAGCCATCTTATAGGGCTGTTAGATAGTGTAGATGTGGTGTTTAGAATGGTTCCTCATGCATACCAAGAGCAGAAAAATATTTTGTTCCCTTCTGTTCTTTTAGGAAAATATACAGGTGTTTCTTTCTGGAGTAATACTTAACCAAAAGAGTAAATACAACCTCTCATGTCCAGGGAAGCATACACAGAGTCCCCAGGTGATGCAGGTAGGCCCATGTTTGTACTGTTGTTTGGCTCTTGGTCTTTCACCTGGAGTGGTCTTTGATCAAGGGACCCATGCCCAGAACATGCCACCATGATGTCAGACATTGGATACCAGGACTCCCCTCTGTTCACTTTTTTTTTTTTTAAAGATTTTATTTATTTATTTGTCAGAGAGCATAAGCAGGGGGAGTGGCAGGCAGAGCAGGCAGAGGGAGATGCAGGCTCCCTGCTGAGCAAGGAGCCCGGGACTCCATCCCAGGCCCCTGGGATCATGACCTGAGCTGAAGGAAGGTCATGACTGAGCCACCCAGGCGTCCCCCCACTGTTCAATTCTAAGCATCATATTTTAGGAAAATTGTTGACAGGTGGGGGAATTTCTAGGGGAAGGGGAGCAGGTTAGGAAAAGCCTGGAAGCCATGGGGATGGGTGAACAAACTACTACAAGTAAGGTTGTCAGATTTAGCAAATAAAAATACGAGAAGCCCAGTAAAATTAGAATTTCAGATAAACAGTGGATCCCATTTTAGTATACAAGTTGCGTCATGCAATCTTTGGGGTCTCCTTATACTAACAAGGTATCCCTTGTTTATCTGAGATTCACATTGAACTGGGATCCCTATAATTTATCTCGTAGTGCTAACTACAAGGATTGTTGAGGACAGTGCACCCACATCAGATAGAGATGCAATATCATACTTAGGAACACAAATGTGTATTTATACTTGGCTACTGGGAGTTGCTGGGTATGCAGATTTCTGAGTGAGCAAAGGGGAAGTTCAGAATTAGGTGTGTTATTCTGGGGGAACTGCATGTGAGAGGCAAATTTGGACGAGGGTGGGAATTTTGATTATCCTCGCTTCCTCCTTCCCCTCAAAATATAGATAGATGAGAACTGACTCTTTTGATTTGCCCTAAGACCTACAAGCAGGAAGATAAGGTGCTGATAGTTACTTAGTACTTTTTCTGCCCGCCCTCTCTTTTGGTCTCTCCTTCCTTACACAGTTACTAGTACATACATTTATTGAGGAACTATGCTAAGGTCTTTCTTGACAGAAGAAATCTAATAGCTCCAAGAAACAATATTTCTTTCTTTTTTAAAAGATTTTATTTATTCATTTGACAGAACGAGAGAGCAGGAGAGCACTAACAGTGGAAGGGGCAGAGGGAGAGGGAGAAGAAGGCACCTTGCCGAGCAGGGAGCCCAATGCAGGGCTCGATCCCAGAACCCTGGGATCATGACCTGAGCTGAAGGCAGTCGCTTAACCAACTGAGCCACCCAGGCGCCCCAAAGCAATATTTCTTAAGAAGGGGAAACTATCGGGGACCTGGGTGGCTCAGTCGTGAAGCGTCTGCCTTCAGCTCAGGTCATGGTCCCAGGGTCCCGGGATCCAGCCCCACGTCGGGCTCCCTGCTCCACAGGAAGCCTGCTTCTCCCTCTCCCACTCCCCCTGCTTGTGTTCCCTCTCTCACTGTGTGTCTCTCTCTGTCAAATAAATAAAATAAAATCTTAAAAAAAAAAAAAAGGGGGAAACTATCTTACAGAATCAACAATGATTTAGACAGCTTTTTGTGAACTCCCGGGCAGTCTGTGGGTATAGTGGAAGGGGTTCAGGGCACAGTAGGGAGCAAAAAGGGGATGGATTAATAACTTGTAGCGAAACAAAAATTACCATCCTTACCTCAGCACTTTTAAGTTTATGTTTATTGATTATTATAGTAAAATATGCTCCTTATGGAAGACGAGGGCATGCAGAGGAATAGAACGAGACAGGAAATGTTAGTGTGTTGGATATTCTTTCCCTGTCTTCTCTCTATTAGTTTTCTTTACAGTGAAGTAGATTTTATGTACATTTATTTTCTAATTCCCCCCACCCCCTCACTTAACAGTATCCCATAAACATGTCCCTCTTTATTGGTATTAAATCTCTGACCAATATTTCAGGTCAGTTTTGACTCATGTTTTCAGGGGAAGGAATGAGATTGGATAAAGACTCATCACCTTGTCTGCTAGGATATGGACCAGATACTGATCCGTGTAAGCAAGTCCCCAGGAACAGTAGGTGCCTTTTATCTAGAGCCCTCAGACTTGCCTGGCAAGTTAAGAACAAGACTTCTGTCCAGATTCGCTTAGACTCCTATCTTTATCAGGTGCTGGACTCTGGTTTTACTAAATCTTGATGGCCATAAAAAATAAGTCTGTTTTGCTTACGCCCGTTCCTCTGCCCTCTGTCCTATGTTTGTAAACACTCCCCAACCCCCTGCCCTCTGTTCTTCCCTGTCCAGGAGTGCTGGAAGCATCGCCCTGCTCTCAGGTGCTTAGCTTTGTTGGCTCCCAGAGTGTCCCCTCATCCCTTCTGGTCCAGGTCTTGGCTCCTGAGGAGTTTGCAGCCCCTAAGGAATAGAGTGGAATGCACAAAGCATTCTTGGGTTGGGACGTGGAGCCTCCATGGATGGCTCGCTGCCTGGTAAGTGAGCTATGAAATATCTGGATGGGACTGATATTTGTGTTTTGATAAGAACAACTGCAGGTTCTGCTGATCATAGTCCTTGACACCTGCATGTGATACACACGTAGGTACAGACACCCCTTATGGAGGACACACCTAGCTAGGCCAGAAGTTTGCACTGTTTCCTTTAAAATCCTTACAAGGATCCATGAGGTGGATGGCTAATATCCCCATTGGAGGCAAGTAGCTTTGGTTGTCCAAAGGCACGCAGCTGGTGAGTATAGAACCAAGACCTTCACCTTCACCACTCTCACTCAGAGGTCCAGGCTTTAACTGCTGTCTGTCTCAGAGAACAGAACATTCTGGAGCTGGAGGGGGCTTCAGAGGAGATTTAAAAACCTTGAATGTCCCAGCTGCTCTGTAAGCCAGTTAAATTTTTGAGTGGAGCCTGGCTTAAGTCATACGATTTTGTAAGTTCTGCAAGTAATTCTGAGAGGCAGCCTGGATTAAGAACCAGTAAAATCCAACACCTTTATTTATAAATGATGAAAATGCGACCCGGCGGGGGGGGGGGGCTTGCCCTAGTTTATACTTTTATTGAGTAGCAGAGCTGGAGCTAGGTCTAGGATTTCCAAGACGTTCAAGTCCATACATGGACCCTATGTGGCCACAAGGACTGCACAGAGGTGCTGATTAAAAACCTTGAGGTGGGGTTGATTCCAGACATGAAGCCAGATACACCCATGCTCCCTTCCCCCTCAAACCACAAGGTGCTCATTTCCCCAGACTCCGTCAACAAACACCAATTTGAACATTTAGGTATTTAGTTTGTCGTTCTGCTGGCCCTTTCAGGGATCATATTTAGAGTTACAAGGTCCTGTTTGGCAGCCCTCTGCTAGCTTGGGTAGCAAATCTCCCGGTGCAAATGCCCGTGTCCCTTGCAGCCATTCCCCTGTGTCTTCCCCATGCTCCTGGTCTGCCATGTGGCTGCATGTTGCCGCCTTCAGGCATAGCTCTCTCTCCTCTCAGGCTGGGCCATGGCCACATGGCCCAGCTTCACAGGGCATCTTTGGGACCAAAGGTCTCAGAGGTTGCACTTAGGTCTGGAGAGCCTAATTCCCTGAGGGCGGAGGTAGAGGTGGTTGGGAGTAGAGGAGGGTGCATGGTCATGAGCTGGCTTGTCTGCTGGAGGAAGGTCAGGAATCTGGGAGGGCAGTTAGGTGGTAGAAATGCCAGCACATTCTTCCCTCTTCTCTGGGAAGCCAGCCAACAATGGGCCAACCATGGGCCAGTGTTCTCTCCAGCAAGCTGCAGGCTACACTGGGCGGCACTCCTCAGGAGGGAAGGGGTGGGGCATTTGGGGGTGTACCGTGGGAAGGAGAACAGAAGTAGCTGAGGCTCCTGAGGTGAGCCGGCCGGCAGCCTGACCTTGGGAGGGGATTCCCCCTTCCTGTGGTGAGGCGGAAGTTTTGTCATCTTGACATAGATGCCGTGTTTCATCTTGCTAGGTCACTGTGATGTTTGTCCGGCTGCCTTCTCTTTCCGTTCCTTATAAGGTGTTCACATCCTCAGTCAGAGCAGCTCCCTGTCCGCATGGTGGGGGAAGCCCTGCCCGTAGGTGCCTGAGCCTCTGAGGTGGGGGATTTGGAGGCCAGCCCCTTCCCCATCTCTGCCCACACAAGAGAGGCTGTCAGTTTGGGAAAAACAAACAAGAAGGCACCTAATGGTGTCTGTTCTGGGTGTTCCTACAGCATCGTTGTCTCCCCAGGAGTTCCCAGCTGATAGCAGTCCTGCAAGAGTTGGAACAAGAGCCCAAAGAGGCCTTTACAGGGATTGGGCCTTGATGAGGTTTGGGGAACAAGAAGTTCAGAGTCTGGTAGATTCTGGTCAAAGATAACGAAAGGAAGGAAAGGGACTTGAGGCAACGTTAGAATCTAAGTGATGGTTAAAAATATGAGTGCTGGAGCAAACTGGTCTGGGTTCAAATGACCCCTTCTTAACTGGATCCAAGTTACCAAAAATGGGCCTCATTTTCTTCAGCTGCCAAGTAAGGGTAATTAAATGGCTGTCCCCCCAGAGAGGTAGTGAGTATTGATTGAGTTAATACATATAAAGGGTTTAGAACGGGTTGGGGGAGAGAGAAGGGCACGGAATGGAGTCACCCCAGGACGGGCAGGCCAGGCTCCTGTTCTCTCCGAGGCTGGGTTCCCATCTGCGCTCAGTAACACAACAGACTCACTTTTTCTCTCTGGTTTTCGGAGAGGAGCATGGAAGAGGGACCGGTGTCTGGGCTGCTGAGCTGTTGTGCAGGTATGGAGGGCCACGCCAGCTTGAGTCAGGTGGCAAATCCCCGGGGATGTTCCTGGAGCCTACCCTGTCCCACAGACGAGGACTCACATGTGACTCACCGTATGCAGGTGGTGCCTGGGCCTGAGTCACCTGGTGCCTCTTCCTCCAACACCTGCGATTCAGCGTGCGCAGCCTGGACCTGGCTCTCTTATCCTCCTTCAGCTCTTCTCTCCGTTCCTCTCTCCTTCCCTCCTTTTCTCGTTCTCTGTCCCTTGACCTCCCATTGAGCAGATCTTGGCTGATCTCCCCGACAGATGGATAATGGAGACGGGAGCTTGTTAGGCCACCCCCACACCCTGTCAGACAATGCCAGGAATGACTGAGAAGCACACAGCATACTGCCTACATCAGCATGGTGACATTGCTGTAATCTGAGGGGAGGTATCTCCAAAAGATCCCTCTCTCTGTCGCTGACTGCTGCAAGAATTTCCACTCTCAGCTGTCCGTTCAGGTGACCGGACGCCCAGACTGTCCCCTCTGAGAGTGCAAGTATACCCACAGTGCATGGGGACTCCTGAAACTGTATCAATATGATATCATTACATGAAGAGTGAGCACCTACTATGTGCCAGGCACTGTTCTCAGCACTGGGAAAACAGTAGTGAACGAAATGGACAAAAATCTCTACCTTCTTGGGCATTACATTCTGGTGGGAGGGGTCAGAAAATAAACATGATAAATACATATATAGTTGGTTTAAAGGTGGTAAGCATTGCAAACAACAACAAAAAAGAGCCAGTCTACCCATAAGATAGGGTAGGTGGAGTTGGGAGTGGGATCGGGCAGGCAACTTGGTTGTCATTTTATTTTTATTTTATTTTTTTTAAAGATTATTTATTTGAGAGAGAGAGAGAGAGAATGAGAGACAGCACGAGAGGGAAGAGGGTCAGAGGGAGAAGCAGACTCCCTGCCGAGCAGGGAGCCCGATGCGGGACTCGATCCCAGGGCTCCAGGATCATGACCTGAGCCGAAGCCAGTCGCTTAACCAACTGAGCCACCCAGGCGCCCTGGTTGTCATTTTAAAGGGTGGTCAGAGTCATTGAGAAAGTAGCATTTGAACAAAGACTTGAAAGAGGTAAGACAGTTAGCCTCACAGATGCCCAGGGGAACCATGTTCCAGGCCGAGAGAGCACCTGGGGCCAGAAGCAGCCTGGTGATTTGGAGGCGATGCACCTGGGGTGAAGGGAGTGAGGGGCCGAGACAGAGAAGTAATGGGGGTGTTTGGGTCATGCAGGGCCTCACAGACTCTGTCTGAGGGCTTTGACCCTGACCCTGACAGGGAGCTAGTGCAGGGTTCTGAACAGGGGAGTGACGTGACCTGTTGTGTGGGGTCTACTGCAGACCAGTTGGAGGCTATTGCGAAAGTCCAGGGAAGAGAGGCTCAGGCCAATAGGGTGGAAGTTGCCTTTGGGAGGGGAAATACCGTTTCCCGGTAGCAGGAGGTGGGTGCCAGAGGAACCACGGTCAGGGAAACCTTGACTAGCCGCTTCCCTGAGCACAACATTCTGACAAGCCAGGTCTGGGGAGTGGTGGTGGCGCTGCTGAGGGTGAGGGCTCCAGAATGGGATGATGGGAAGCAGGGCACGAGAGAGGAGTACGCCGAGGGAGCCTGGGGCACCGTAGTGACACCCCCACCTGCACTTTAGCCCTGGCCGAGTCCTAACCCAGCCTGTGGCTCTGTTTTAGGCTCCTTATCTCTGAACAAATTAGATTCTGAAGTTCAAAGCCAGTGCCTGGGGCCCTGCCATCCCCCCCCGCCCCCCCCCCCCCCGCCGGGGAGTGCTCCGTGTCCCTGAGGAGGGAGGCTGAATGGGCTGCCCTTGGGGTCTGCAGAAACAATGGCCTGGACTGGGCCCAGAGAGTGTGGGGGGCCCAAACAGAGCAATTGCCACTTTCCTCTGTGAAGCCAAACCCCTGCTGGGACCTGCCCCAGCCTGTGAAGTCTGAGACACTGAAGGCTTATTTACCTCGGCTCCTGGCCTCCTAAGAGAGGAGAAGGAGGGGGATTTGAAGGGCTCCAGCGACGACCCAGTGTGCGGCCCACCGCACGCCGGCCCGCCTGGTCTGAGGGTCTGGGATTGTCACACCGGCTCCTGCTGGTTAACTATTAATGAGTTCTTTGTCACATCCTCTTTCCTGGTGGTGGGCCCAGGATGGGGCAGTTCCAGGAGGGTGAAGGCTTCCTGGAAGCCTTGAGTTCAGGGAGCTGGAGAAGTGGAGAGAAACAGACCAGGCAGGTGGGCTCAAAACCCCGGGGTGGGGGTGGGGGGTGGCATCAGTGATCTTTCTCTGGAGGACGTGATGGGGGTCTCTCTGGGATCTTGTTGCAGTGGCTGGCCCATGAAGGGAGGCTGCTTGTACTGACTTGGGCTGGCTGACTTCAGCCAGATTTCACTGGAATTCTTACAGGGGTCTAGACACTAACATTTAGTGGAGTATTTGTTACGTGTGTAAACAACTTAATGCCTATTTGCTAATTACAGTACTTCCCCTGCCCATCTAAACTTACTGGACTGAATTAGAACCGAAGGGTTAGAAATGCCCAGTTTAATCCACAAAATCCTACATTTTCCCCTTAAGCGTTCTCAAACCAATTTCTTGGACTTAACCCTCAAACTGTAGAGAACTTTCTGCTTGGGGGCCACTGACAGCCTGGACTGGGTAGTTAGGAGTCGCCTTTAAATAGAAACTTTGAGGTGCTGTGTTCCAAAACAATGCCACGCAGGCTCTCCTGCAACTGCAGGCCCAGCATATGGACTGGCTGACCTTCCACCTCTCTCTAAAAGCCCCCTGACCCTAAGCCGGGGCCGAGCGTCCTCTGAGGCCAGCCTCTCGGTCTAGGCCTGGTTACTGCCATGTCCAGTGGCCCTCAGGCAGGAGTGCACCAGGAGTCCCACACAGGAAGCTGTGTCCTGAGGCCTGGTGGGGGGCGGGCCGAGGAAGTTGGTCTAGTTATGCGTCAGGTCAGGTCTGTTTTCTGGCCCTCCAGGCTGGCATTCTTGCCCGCGGAGGGAGGGGCTGGGAGACCAGCCCTTCGGAGGCTGGGGGCATGACTCACAGGTGGTTACCTGTCCTAGGGCCCCCTGCCAACCTGCAGAGGGATCCGGAGGGGAGGAATTTAGAGTTGGTTCCTGTTTATTCCTCTTGAGCTTTCCTTGGGTGGGTTGGGCTTTGACCCCCTTCCTGATGAACCTAAAGCTCCTGCAAATTCCCCCCAAAGCGGGGATTTTCCACTTTTTTAGTTTTCCCTTGGGAGGGGTCTGGTGCTTTCCAGGGTCCTGGATGTTTGGGTCTATTCACCTTGTAGCCCAGTGACAGGTTTGGGCAATAACAGCCTACACACCAGCCCTGATCTTTGTGTTCTCTGCTTGGTCTTCTGTCCAGGGCCGCCCAGGACACAAGACGAAGCTGACCCCTGTGGGCCTTGGGGAAGTGCCAAGTGCAGTGCCTATCACAAATGTGAGTGCCCTTCTCTGCCTCCTGGGAGTTACTGACAGTCGCCTGGGGCTGTTTGCAGTGGCTCCCTTCACCACCACCCCCGCCCCTGCCCCCCCCCCACAGGCCCCCACAGGCAGCTGGGGACTGATGAGCTTGCTGTGAGGCCTCTGAGACCCACCCACCTGCCCAGTCCTGTCCTGGGGGTGGGGGTGGGGGTGCAGTGACGGCACATGGGCGTGCCAGCCGCCAGATTCCTGAGACCCGCCCTGCAGTGGGCGACGCCCAGACGGGGAGTCTCCAGAGGTAAAGCCATTCTTTAAAAACTGGGAGCCAGGAGAGGAGACCCCACATTCAAGGGGTGCTGTTAGAGGCCATCTGGAGAAAGAAGAGCACAGTACGGAGCAAGGTACGTTACCTGCCTTCCCCTGCTCGGTGGGGGCCAGGCGCGGGAGCAGGGCTGTCTGTGTGTCTGTGTGTCTGGGGCCTGGCTGCAGGGCCTGATTCATTCCTCCTTCAGGGAGGTCACCCGAGCAGGTGTGTTCACCTGCAAAGGCTAGGTCAAATGTCTGCCTTTGTTTGGGTTGCTTTTTCGTCTCAGAGAAGTATCTCAGTGACTTAGAAGAAAGCAGCTTCAGATCTGGGCTGAGCACAAAGAGAAGTGGAAAGTGTGGGCTGGCCCAGCTAGAGCTCTTCCAAGGGCCACTCTGATGCCTGGTTGTGGGGGATTCCAGCCTGGGGGCAGGAGGGCAGAGATAGCACTGGATGGACACCAAAAAGTGGGTCTCCCTCTTGGGCCATCATTAGTTGTGCAACCTCAGGCCACCTGTCTCTTCCTGGGGCCCCTGACTCTTCTGGGAGAGGATTGGAAGGCATGATTTCTAGCTATTAGGATGTGGAATGTAAAGACACCAGGAGGGGCCCCAGCTCCCTCTCTGCTCCTGCCTTGCCACCCACACCCCGCCTCATTTTTCCACCCTAGCCAGAGGACTTTGTGGCCATCATTGGAGCAGACACGCATCCAAACCAAGGCAGAGCTGGGCACTGCACGAGCAGGGGTGGGGCATGCCTCTGCAGGCTAGGCCTGCCTGCCTCCTGGAGGGACGCTTCAAGTATCCAGCGTCAGCCTCTAGAGTCCCTGCTCTGCGGCTGTCCTCCTGCATAGCCCTGGGCCATAATGGGAGCCATTTTGAGATGCTTCCAGTTCAGATGAAATCCTCACTCACTTTTTAAATGCTGCAGGCTCGCCTTTCTCCCCATCATATCCTATCCCAGCTACCTGCTTAGCTCAGAGTTGTGGTCACCACAGCCTCACCCTCAGGGAGGCCCCGGGTGGTATTGGAGACCATGCCAGTGGCACAGAGACCTCGCTTCTAGGCCTTCAGCCGCTTGGACCCATTCACCTTTGGGCCTGCAGGCTGGGCCAAGCTCTGAGAAAAGCCAATTCTGTTTCTTGGGGGCAGCAACAAGGCCTCGGACATCTCGTTAGCGCCTCTCCTGCAGAGGGCCCAGCCCTTTTCTGCTCCCTACATTGTCCGCAACGACTATGTGGGCCGGGGAGGGCCAACTCTCTTTCCCTTCCATCTCAGAGGGGGGAGATGAAGTCTTGGGGGGCAGGGGGGAAGGTACAGTGTGAGTCACACGCCAGTGGGGACAGGGGTCCAGGGCTCTGGCATTTTCCAAACTTATGGCTACAAATGTACCTGCTGTGTACAAGTATCCTAGGTCGAGACCCTATGTAAAGGGGGCTAGTGTGCCTTAGGGTTTGTATTGTTTTATCCAGGCTGCTCTGCTCTGTCCCACGTGAGGTCCTCTGAGGGGATTCCCCTGGTGGCTGAAGATGAGGCCACTCCTCCTCCTGTGCTTTGGTAAGTGTCCCCTCCCCATCCTTCCAGGCCCTGTTCTATAGCAGGGAGGGGACAGCCACTGGCAAGAGGACTGTGAACCAAAGTGTGAGCATCATCTGTCACTCTGTCATCCTTCAGTTTAGAACACTTGTCTCCTGGGGCCCCAGTGGGGTTTCCCTGCTCCTTTGGGCCTTTGGGAAAGATGAGGCTCCCAAGTGTCTTCTTATTCCTACCTGAGGGGGGCTCGTGGTTCCCCAAGTGGCCTGCACAGCTAATTGCTCAGCCTTTCACTTTCTCGCTGGTTCCGGAGCCATCACGGCTGGGTTTTACAGTGGACTGTAGCCGGGCACTCACAAAGTGTGCTGGGTCCACCTTACAGAGAAAGGAGCAGAAATAATGGTGGCCTCTCCCAGCTTTGCACAAATGGTGAGCAGCGAGCCCTGCTCTGGATGCTGACCAAGGCCAGGCTGCAAGTGAAGGGATTGAGGAGTGTGTCCCAGTGGCTGAGCATGTGCCTGCAACTTGATCCTAAAAGCCACATATGGAGGCCACATTTCAGGATCATCCAGGGTTTCTGGTGGCCAGCATTTCTCCTCCTTTCCTTTTAAAATTACAGGTTACAGAACACGAAATCAGCTTTTTTTACCTGATAGCATCAGGAGTCCCGTCCTTACCGCCACCACTGAGTGGGAGCAGGCGTGAGGGAAAAGGGCTGGGCTTGCTGATTTATGCTTCCCTGGGGGAATACTGGGGGTGGCCTGGTGGGCCCTCCTCTCTCTAGGCTATTCCCCAACACCCCTGTGATTTCAGTCTGGCCCGGCCTCCTGTGTGCCCAGCAAGCCTGCTCCCGTGGGGCCTGCTATCCACCTGTTGGGGACCTGCTCATTGGGAGGACCCGGTTTCTCCGAGCTTCGTCCACCTGCGGACTGACCAAGCCTGAGACCTACTGCACCCAGTATGGTGAGGTAGGTCCGACCACCATGTCCTCCAGGACTGGAGAAGACAAGGTGGAGTGGGGTGGGTGAGCCTGCCCTTTGTTCACACAATGCCTAGAGTGTATTTGGGATAGCCACAGCTCCGTGCACTGTGGAGAGTGCAAGCCAAGCCTAAGGCCAGATCTCTGCCTCTAAAGAATTTTCTCCTTCTTTGGGCGAGAGAAAACGTCTTCAGAATTAGTTGAATGGCTCTCTTCTCCCTTCTGCCTGATAAAGCTGGAGTTTTTCCTCAATCCTCGGGTACGGGTAGGATAGTTTTTCAAGTCTTGGGAACAATCAGATGAATGTTGATCTTTTAGATTGGAGAGTGTAACGTGTCATCTGTGGTGGGCGAAGTCAAGTCTGATGGAGCATAGGTGGTGGGATGTGTGCACTGGGTTGTGTTCTTGCCATGGGATGAACTGAGTGGTGCCATGGTCACTGTTTGCCACCATCTCTTTGGCCAGTGTTGGGAAATGAGTACAGACTGAGCTAGTGGGAGACTGTTTGATTGTAGGCTGGAGTGGACTTTCTATGGTTTACCTTTGCCATGTATGAAGAGCCAACTTACTTACCTCTCAGCCTTGTTGGTCCCCTCAGGCAAGTGGGAAACACCCCAACTGCTGTTTAGAGGACATAAATCAGCAAGATAGACAAGGAAGCGATGAGGCCAGCGAGGGGGTTCAGTGACTCAGCTGATAAGTAATGAACGTGAGCTGAACAATCTAGAAACCCAGACACTCTGACTTATGTCAGTTAACAGTCCCCGTTTAGGCAACTGAGTTCTACAAAGAGCTGTTGTGATTTTTCTTCTACACACCTCTGGACCTTTTTTGGAGGAACGCTGGCTTCTTTTCTTTTCTCTTCAACAAGGTGGGGGTCATTCTTGGTGCCTTGTGTTTACCAAAGTTGAAACCACTTAGCATTTCCTTGTTTCCGACTGCATGTCTCATTTGGCCATTTTTTCTGCCCTGAAACCAAAGGTTTGGACAAAGGAATGTGTGAGGGAGGAGTTTTCCCTGAGTCTTCTAGTCTTTTCAGAGAAAGAGAGAAAGAAATACAGAGAGAAGGGGAGTGAGAGAGATTGATTGCCATGCAGGAGACTTGGGTCCTCTGTGGTGTCCTCTTTCCAGACTGTCCTTGTCGTTGGGACGATGGAGGTAGCATCTGATACTGCCTTTGGGCACTGCTGCCCTTCTAGTCTCCGGTGATCTTTTGGCTACTTTTTTTTTTTAAGATTTTATTTATTTATTTGACAGAGAGAGAGACAGCGAGAGAGGGAACACAAGCAGGGGGAGTGGGAGAAGGAGAAGCAGGCTTCCCGCTGAGCAGGGAGCCCGACGCGGGGCTCGATCCCAGGACCCTGGGACCATGACCTGAGCCGAAGGCAGATGCTTAACGACTGAGCCACCCAGGCACCCCGATCTTTTGGCTACTTTTAATGGCAGATGGTACCGAGTAGCGGCTTTGGAGGTGCTGAGCAGAGTTGACTGTGGTTTCTGCATCTCACCCAGTTGGATGTGGGGAAGCCAGTTTGACGGTGTTGGGTAAAATGGCCAGCATAAGGCCATGACTCCCTGTGGGCCCAGATTACTCCACAAGCATCGGGGACCTGGCAGTATTGAGCTTTCTAGGCAATGGAATGGTTTTCGCTGCTCCCTTTCCACATGCCCTCAAAATCTGGGACCACTGAGCCATGTCTAAAAATTTCGGGGAGACTTATACCGACTTCCTTCCTCGAGCTGCCTTTTGGGAGGAGAAATACAGAGCCCCTGTGCTGGGATGTCCCTCAGCCCCAGCCCTGTCTGGATAGCCTCTTTCCCTGAAGCCTTGGACTTTTGCCTTCACCTTGGCCTGCCCTCTGCCTCTCTCAGATGCTGCAGGCTGCCATGTCCCTTCCCTGCTCTTACGCAGCCCCCCTGAGAACAAAACGGTACTTGCAAAACAGAAGTCTAGACTTTTGCAACCCTGGGGATGGATAAATCTCAGCTGTTTTGCTGCTGTGAAAGTTGAGATACATTGGCTTTCCCCCTCTGCTTTTCTATAAGGGGGGAAGAAAGCTATGCAGCCTCTTTTGGAGAGTAGAAGATAGGACATCTTGAATCCAGTGTAGTTCCAGGTCTGCCACTAACCTGTGGTGTGATCTTGGGCAAGATATTACCCCGCTCTGAGCCTTAACTTCCTCTTCCATGAGTGAGTGTTAGATGAAAGGTTCTTGAGGTTTGCTCCTGGCCCCAAGTTTCTTTGGGAATGAGCTGACGGCTGAGAGCCAGCTTCTGTCCCCCTACCTGCCACCTCTCCCTTGTTCCATTGCCCTCTCCCCCTCTCTTACCCGCCTGACCTCCTAGAGGCTGTTGGTTGACAGCAAGGAAGACACACACTAAAGGCACATAGTCCCTTCTAGTACTCTGTGCAGATGCTCTCCCTGAACCCTCGTTGGCTACGGAAGTGGCTGTGTGATGAAAATTTGGAATCAGGATTTTAACTCTGCTGACTTCCAATTTCAGTTTTTAAGTTTAATTATCAAATTATTATTATCAAATGTTACGTATAGCAGCTGTAATTTATTAGGCACATGCTATGTGTCCCAGACCTCATACTAAGAGTTTTACAGAAATTATCTCAATTAATTTTCACAAGGCTTCCTGTGGGGGCGCTTGTTACCTCTATGCGCTGTTGGGAGGGTTTGGATGTGTTCTGGGACCCCAGACTTCTAGTGGAAACACACAGGTGTCGAGTTTTCTGAGGAGTTAGAGATGGGGGGTGTACCAGACAGCCCTAGCTGGAGATGAGGCATGATGCAGAGCTGCATTCCTGGTACCTGCCCCTCTCCATTCTCTCCCTCCCCGCTTCCTACCAACTCCTGCCCCCATATACACACCTTCTTTAAGTCGAAGCTTCTGGTTTGTGCTTCTGTTCTATTTCCATGACGTTGCGAGCCCTGAGCCAAGCACGACCTCATCCAGCACCTGCTGTCTGCCCACTGATGTGGCGTGAATGCAAGTGCATCGGAGATTTACGACTCTTGGACATTCTGCACCGCTCATTCCCCTGCCCTTAACCCCAGTGGCACTCAGTGGAATGGGAGTTGCAGGAGCAGTGGGGACTCGTTCCAGTTCCAAAATTGTTTCTCCCAGCTCCCGGTCTCAGAGTGCGGCTCCCGTTTGCTTGCTACCTGAATCCTATCAGCCTCGAGGACTTGCTTCTGTGGTTTTGGGGTCCATATTGCAACCCTTGCAATGGACATAGGACTTGGCCAGCTTTGCTTTGGGGTACCCCTCCCCTAACTTTGCCCTTCATAGGCCTGCCTGCCTTGACTGCCCTTTAACCATCCAAGCTTGGGCCCAGGCTGTTCTTTCCCCAAATGGCCCTGTCTCCTTGTCCTCCTTCCTTTAGTTCCTAACTAACCTCCGGGTAGACTCACTGTTCCCTAAAGCTCAAGGCATGTCTGTGTTTCCCCCATATCCTTGTTCTCTTCTGTGCTTTCAGCGTCAGCTCCTCAATTTGAAAAATAAGAGTAATGACAGCACCCTGCCCCGTGAGTGGTTGCGAGGACCGTATAAAGGAACGAGCCAGGGATGCCTGGGTGGCTCAGTCGTTAAAGCGACTGCCTTTGGCTCAGGTCATGATCCCTGAGGTCCCGGGATCGCGGCATCGAGTCCCACATCGGGCTCCCGGCTCAGCGGGGAGCCTGCTTCTCCCTCTGCCCCTCTCCCCTTTCATGCTGTTTCTCTCTCTCAAATCAATCAATAAATAAAATCTTAAAAAAAATAAAAAAGAAAGAAAGAAACTGTCAAATGCCATTAAAAAAAAAAAAAAGGAACGAGCCAAGTAACCTTGGCTGGTGTCTGCAAGACATTAAATGTTACATCCTCTCTCCCCTTACACACCCTCCTCCTGGCACCTGTGTCTGCAGGCAGAGGCCGCCCCATCTGTGAATCACACTCCTGAGCATTTCCTCCCTGATTAGGATACCCAGTCGCATACTTATTGAAATCAACTCATCCTTGGGCCGGCCCACTCTGCTCCCAAGGTGGCCGCTCTCAATCTGGTCTGTAGCAGACTGTGGGAGAATCTGGAGGCAATCACAGTTAGTTGAAGTTGCCCTGCCCGGGCGTGGGGACTCTCTGGTCCTGATCCTGGCTCTGACACTGAGATGAGGGATGCGACCTTGCTAGCTCCTGGGTTCTCTCTAGACCACCATTTCTCCATTTGTGAAATGAAGGAGTTGGGTTAGTTGGCCCTTGTGTTTGCTCAGCTCTAGCATCTCCGCCTGCTTCTCAGAGGTGGCTGGGCTGTGTGTGACCCTGTGGGCTCATCATGGTCTTGCTCAGGCAGGGGCTTCTCTACAGGCAGGGGCTGAGCCGTGCCTTTCTGGTCAGCCCTGTGGGCTGCTTCAGGCTCCCCAGGGACCAGTGCGTTTTGCCTGGAAGCTTTCTAGCCCTGATTTCTGCTCCTGACAATGTCTCCTCCAGCGTTGTATCTGCTCTTCTAAATGCTTTATTTATCTCTCACTCCCTCCCTTGCTGGGGGAAAACTTAATTACCCAGCTGCCTTAATAACAGTTTTACCCAGTGTATTCCTCAGGTTAATGAGCTGTGTAAACCCAACAGCTGTTATGTTTAGCTCTTGGAAACACGCTGAGAAGTAATAGCCCACTGATATCCCCTCCACCCCAACACACACACACATGCACACACGCACACATACATGTCAGTGCACGCACACGCACATCCCCCAGCAACCACTGCCTTTCTTCGTTTGACTATTGTCTGTTTTCTGGACTTTTGGCATGGCTATTATGTAGGCGGAGGATGTGTGAGCTCCTTCTGTCTCTCTACTTTGGGACTGCCTTTTGCCCTCCTGTTTCCCAGAAGTTCTCAGCAGTTCTGAAACTTCCAAAGCTCCTGCCATTGGCGATCTGCTCTTTTGGACGAAGCATTGTTGCGTCCTTTGTCTGAAATACAAACACTCTTGGGGAAGGCACCATA